ATAAGGATTGACCTAAGGAATAGGCACGAAGTCCATCGCTGCCAGAGTTTATATCAAATAAGGCAACCATCGGGGTGACAACACTGCTTTCCTCAGCAATTTATGTCAAATAAGCAAACATCGGGGTGACAACACTGCTTTCCTCAGCAATTTATGTCAAATAGGCACGAAGTCACATCGTCGCCAGGGTTTATACAACAGGCACTAAGTCCATAGTTGTCAGGGTTTAGGCACCAAGTCTACATGGTCGCCAGGGTTTATACAATAGGCACTAAGTCCATAGCTGCCAACGTTTATCTTATAGGCACTAAGTCCATAGCTGCAAACGTTTATCTAATAGGCACTAAGTCCATAGCTGCCAACGTTTATCTAATAGGCACTAAGTCCATAGCTGCCAACGTTTATCTAATAGGCACTAAGTCCATAGCTGCCAGGGTTCTTAAATTACAACTGGTGAACACATAGTTCAAAAATACCTAATCCATACTCCCAGATCTAAAACTAACCTCTCTACCTGATTCATACTCCCGGATCTAGTATGTATGATCCATACTCCCGGATCAATAACTAATAACTATGTTTATATTCTGCTAGATGACTAGATCATCTTATCGTCTCTAAATTGACTAGCCCGAATCTGCAGGCGTTACAGTTATGTTATATGTGTTAAGTCATTATGTGATTTTCTTGAATGGTGACTTGGAGAACTGCGAGACAATTCTTGGGATGAGTATGAGTATGTGTGAAAGGTAGTAGAGGCCTATACTACCCAAAACACAGGAATCACACTTGGATCAGGAAGAGTCACAAGGTTATTAAGGTACTAGTTTGTTTCGTTTGTTTCCATCATTACCATCATTTGATGATGACTAAGAAGACAATTGATATTCCGACGATAGTGGTCATTGAGTCCGATTTGAGAATAAATCTAAAAAGTAAGTTCCTCGATTCCGAGAACTTGTTCGTTGTAGTGTTCGACTTTAGTCAAGGGATTGGAGAAAAAGATAACCAAAGAGATCAACAAAAGTATCGCAACCGTCGTTAGAAACTAAGCAGCACGTAGCTAGAAATGATATCTATCATGATGTGATTATATCACATTAGAACATGAAGGAGGGTCATTAGAGCATGACCATCCGGCCTACTACGGTAGCCAAAGTAAAAACCTTATCATAGGTTAAGTTCGTTCTAGAAAGAGCAAGAGTCTCCAATAAAGATCGAATTTAGAATGAAGAGGGGGTGCAAGGTTGAGCACCGCCAACAGTTAAAAAGAGTCCAAAGCTTAGAAGGACATAGGAGTTACGATTATTACCTAGGATGGAAATGTAACATTCGGAGTCATTTTTATAAGTCATGTTTTGCTGATGATTATGTGATGTAATCATCCTAAGGGGGAGATAATTGTAACGCCCGCAGATTCGAGCTTGATAACTAAGAAATAATAAGCAATAAAAATGACATTTTTATAGAAGATTATTTAGGATAAATAACCTTAAAAGAAGTTATAGTATATGTGACAATGATTTCGTACATATAAAGAACGCTAAAATCCGACTTCGTATGAAGAAATTAGTTTTTTTTATAGTTCTAAAAACAAATTAGTTTGTTTTTTTTTACGTTTTAAACGGTATAACATTTTAAAAGAACTTAAATATAATATTTAATTAAATTTTTTTCGTATATAAATACGATTTTTCTGCATGAATACGTATAATATGAAAAAAGAATACTTAGGGTAAAAGCGTAAAAACATAAAAAAAAAAAAAAAAAAAAAAAAACCGTAAACTTAAGGGTTTTTTTGAGAATTTAATATCATGGTAATTTGAAAAACCTGTAATCGTCAATAAAATGGTAAAACCGAACATTTTTTGAAAAATATGAATGCAAAAGTGGACATAAAATATAACTTTAAGGAAAACCGACAAAAACATGAAAACTTAAATTTATTTATGGCATTAGTCCTTACTATTTCTACATTAATACGTATATTATTATATATATATATATTAAAGTTATGAAAGATTTTAACAGTAAAGTGACACTTTTTTTGTCAATTTTGGTCCTCCAACTTACAACATTGACCCTTCATCTTTATGCTTTTGTTCACAAACAACCCTTTCACTTTGGTTTTAATTTTTCATAACCCTCGCCTTTTATTACATATTATTAGTATTTTGTCTTTTGGCAGAAATGGTCCCTCATCATTATTATTATTATTGTTAGACAAAATTACACGATTGGTCCCTGTGGTTTATCAGACTTAACATTCTCTTTTTGGTTTTAAATTAATGTTTTATTTATTAGAAAATACCCACCCAATACCATAAACCCACCCACCATCTGCCATCACCACCACCACCACCACCACCACCGCCGCCGCCAAAATTACATAAATGGTCCATATGGTCTACCCATGGTGACAAATTCAGTCCCTACTACCTGAAAAGACCTACTCTCACATTAACGGACAAAAAGCAACCAACATGCTACTTTACTTTACAAAACAATACCTTCCGACCCCGGCAACGCCGATGAATCTTTTCTAGTTATTAAAAAAAAAAAGAACATATGTATGGTACAAACATAAAAAATTATAAACATAAAGATTTTTTTTTTTCGAGTTTATTTTATGATAACCTAAGAATTTAACTTTGAGTATTAACGAACACAAAATTGTCATGATAACACAACTAAAATGTGACAAATTAGTTGTTTAACTGATTTTTACATATTTTTAATAGACAAAATTGCAAAAATAATCAAGATGGTTTTTCATTTTATGTGGCTAAGGTCTAAACATTTGAAAAGTTGCAAACTTAGTCATTTTCAACATGTTTTGTTGTGGTTTTGGTCCCTCTTCCGTTAACTTTAACAACTTGACTTTTAACTTTTTTTAAAATGACTGTTTAACCCTTAGGAACCATTTCTACAACGAAACTACAAGGACCATTTTCACATATCTTCTTTTTATTTTTCTTGAATTATTATATATTAACAAATGTTATTTTTAATATATAATATTTATATATTAATAATTATTATTTTATAGGATTATTAACTTTATTTTAATTAAACTTTTTTAATTTCTTTGTTATAGATTTTTAATTGGATTATTATATATGGATAAATATTCTTTTAGTATATAATATTTATATATTAATAAATATTATTATTATTATTAGTTTATTTTAATTAATTTTTTCATTTGAGTAGTTATTTTATGTTAGATTATTATATATTAAAAAATATTATTTTTAATATATACTATTTATATCCTAAAAACTATGACAGTATTGGATTATTAATTTCTTTTGTTAAGTTTTTTTAATTTCTTTTTTGTAATAATTCTTTTTTATTCTATTATAACTTTTAATTTATTATTTTATTTATATAATAAATACTATTTGTTGGATTATTAGATTATTAGATTATTTTTAATGTATACTATTAATTCTTTATAATTTTATTAGTTTCACCATAAAGTCGCAAGAATATGCAAAAGCGTTGCCTCTCATCATCGAAAATCGTCGGGATCACTACAAAACATCTTCATCGGAGGTCGGACAAAGCCCACCAACCTTTTTCCAACAAACGATGACGGTAGTCACCTGCGATAACACCACTAGCATCACCCGATCACCACCACCACTTTTAATATTTATAGGAGTTTGATGCACATTGTGTGAGATATGGAGGATTCTAGCGGATTGTGAAAAGGTTGTCGTAGGTGGCTACCGGTAATGTTGGGTGGAAAAAATTAGTAGGGTTAACATTGAACTTCCGATGTAGGTGTTTAGCGATGATCCCGATGATTTTCGTTGATGAGAGGCGTCGCTTCTACGTATTCTGACAACTTTGTGGTGGAACTAATAAAATTAAAAATAATGAATATCATATAATAAAAATAAATTAATAATATAGTAAATAATATTTATTATATAAAGAAAATATTAAACTAAAAGTAATATTCCAATAAAAAATAATTACTCCAAATAAGAAAGGAATTAAAAAATTTAACTAAAAGAAATTAATAATCTGATAATGTATTATTTATTAGGATATAAATATTATAAATTAAAAATAATATTTGTTAATATATAATAAAGCAATAAAAAAGAATTATTCCAATAAAAAAATTAACTAAAATAAATTAATAATCCAATGTAATAAAATTTATTAATATATAATTATTATATATGATAAATAATATTTATTCATATATAATAATCCAACTAAAATATCCGAAACACAAAAAAATTAAAAAAATTTAATTAAAAGAAATTAATAATCTAATAAAACAATATTTGTTAATATATATAGTATATATTAAAAACAAAACATTTATTTATATATAATAATTTAATAAAAATAAAAAGAAGATATGTAGAAATGGTCGTTGTAATTTGCTGACAGAAATGGTTCCTGAATGTAAAATAGTCATTTTAAAAAATGTAATAGCCAAGCTGTTAAAGTCAACGGAAAAGGGACCAAAACCACAACAAAACATATTGAAAAAGACCAAATGTATAATTTTTCAAAGGTTTGGACCTTAGCCACATAAAATGAGAAACCACCGGAACAATTTTTGCAATTTTTCATTTTTCATAAACTCGTTGCTTATTTTGCAAAAAAAAAAAAGTAAGTGATGTACCTACTTATGAAGCTGTTTTCCAATAATTATTTTATAAAATATGAATTACTTTGTTAAAAAAAATTTTGCCAAAAAAAAAATTTATTTTGCAAAAATATTTTATTTTCAGCTAACAAATTAAAGTAAGAATTATTCTTAATATATTTTTATAAAATCAATTATTTTTGTAAGCTTATATTTTATATTCTAATTTCTAAGTTCTAACACACCTAATTTGCTATCTTTAGTAATTAATCCTATTGCTTTTGTCTTATTTTTAATAATTGTATGATTTCTTTATCATAATATTATTAAAGAAAAGAAAAAAAAACAATATATTCCTAACTCCCTCCTACCTCCGCCTCTGTCACTTCCCTGATCCATCTCTTTGTTTATTAATCACATTTCTCTCTCTCTGTATCTTCCCCCCAACGCAACTACGCACACATATTTCTATAACCCTTTTGCATTTGTCTCTTACTCATTGCCGAATCAAATTTTGATTTCTAGCTCTTTGTCTTCACATCTTTCTTCTCTAATTTCACCCCCAAATTGGGTTTCCAAGGTTCCCACTAAAATCACTTCTTCGTCTTCGCTTTAGGGCTTTCTCTTTCTTCATCTTCTTCATCTCGGTGTCCATGGACGCTTCTTGTGATCTTGAAGTTGATGTTAATGGCGAAGAAACGTTCTTCATTCATGAGGTAAATCCAATTTCTTTCCATCTTCAAACTCTTTTGTCGAATTGTGTTCGATATCCGATATCTCTGTCATTATGGTCTTTTGTTTTTGTTTCTATTGAAAATTAAGGTTAATTTGTCTTCATTCATTGTACTGATATACATTAATTGTTTTGAACAAAATTTGCATTTATTATCGAATTTTCTGTCTGCGAACACCAAATTACGCATTTTTCTTCATACGTTCATGCAATTTGAGTAAAGAAAGGTTCTTCTCTTTCCACTCTTCAAAATTTCAAGATTCTTTTTACTAAAATGTTTTTGACTTTTTCCCATTTTAATTCAGTACAAACTTCAAGTTTTCTTAGCCACCCACATTCCATTCTTGCAATATCTGTAGGAAAGTGTCATTTTCTCAGTGTATGTGTGTATATTATTGTATGAATGTATGCATATTTATTAGTTAGTTCTTCATTAATGTGGGGTGGGGTAGGGTGGGGTGGGGGGGGGGTACTATCTTGAACCTTCTTTTCTCATATAGGGTAAAAGATGTTAGTGGATCTTTACAACTCTTGTGAGAGTGACATAATACCTACTCACTTCATATCTAATTTTAAAATTAATCAATTTATGTAATTTCTAATTACTACATTTTTTAATAACGATTTTTAACAGAATGTAAATTTAGTGAAAGTACGTTTCTATTAATTACACTTTGACATATACCGAATTAATGACTGATTCTTACTCTGCTACCAAATTTATTGCAAACAGTGACTTTCCACAATTCTTTTCTGCAAAATGGTCCTATTTTTTCTACTTTATGATAATCTTCTTTTTGGGTTCATAAATTCTTTACCTTTTTGTGGTGGCATAAATGATAAATGCACTGCAAAAATGCCATTGTGTAGTTACCTTGAGTTGTGAAATCTCCAATGTTTATGATATTATATTCGTAACATATTCGGTTCAAAGATTAGAGACATTTTGACTTTTAAGGTCAATCGAGTCTTTTCTAAGTGTCAAAATTTCTTGGATTCTTGATGATTTCAAGATTTAGGATACATATTGACTTTTAAGATCAATCACTCGATTAGAGATTTATTTTGACTTTCTTGGTCAAAGTTGCAAAAAAATTATTTGAAGGGGAAGAATCGGACACTTTTTCTACATTGTAAGTGGGTTCGAACTAGATTTTGTTCTTGTTTATGTCATATTTTGAATTTCTTTGAATTATGTGGGGAAACTGTAAAAAAGTTAAGGTTATATGCAAGATATAGAAATTTCCTTTCATATATTTGTTTATTGTAGTATCCTAATTTTGTTTCATCCTATTACAACATTATTATTACTTTGAAAAATCTATCCATTTATAGCAATGTCATCAAAATGCAAATTAAATTCCATTGATATAATAACATAGTTGTTTCAAAGCACAATTCAAAGTAGAATGCTTTGAAATGGAAAAAAATGAATGAAAATGATATAGGAAAAAAAATGTAGGATGCGTTAATAAACAAATAAACGAAAGAACATTGCTATTTTCTATCTTTCTCCTTTTTTTTATAAGTGTTTGTATAATAAAATTTGTTTCTTAAAATTACAGAAAATCATATCGTCGTATTGTGGAAAAATACGAAAATTATTCGGTAAATCAAAAGGCCCGACAAAAAATCTCAAAGTTATATTCAACGATTTCCCCGGAGGACCCGAAAGTTTCGAGCTTGTTTCAAGGTTTTGCTACAACAAGGGCAAAATCGTAATTAACCCCTATACCTCACCTCGCCTATTCCGCGCCGCACATTATATGGAAATGAACGAAACGGTTAGCGGGTCCCACAATTTGCTCGAGAAAACCGAGAAATCCCTTGAAGAAATCAAGTTTTGGAGTTGGATCGAGCTTCTTTCTGCTTTAAAGTACGTTGCTATTTCTTCAAAAATCCTTCAAACATGTTTGGATTCTTTAGTAGCACGACTCGTTTTCGCCGAATTGAGCCTTTCTTGTCCATCGATTTCATCGCCTGAAAGCTCGGCCCTTCGGTTATCAACCGATAGCAAAAGCACCGAGAGTGGTCAAACCCGTTTCTTGCGGTCAACATGGTGGTTTGAAGATTTGGTCAACGTTTTGACTCCCGATTTGGTCAAACCATTGGTCAAATCGATCATTTTTCATAAATTCGATCATGGGGTTACAAGTAGGTTTCTTGTTTACTATCATAAATCAAGATTTATCACCGCGAGTCCCGAAGAAAAACGAGAAATAACGGAAACGGTCATCGATAGTTTGTGTTTGCTTGATCAAAACTCAAACTCAAACTCAAACTCGGTTTCTTGCAAGAATTTATTCGGGATTTTAAGGGTTTCTTCGAATTTAAACATTAGTAAAATCTCGAAGAACAATTTGGAGCGTATGATTGGGTCCCGCTTGGATCAAGCGACTCTAGATGATCTTCTTGTTCCATCTCCACACGGGTCGAATTATCTTTATGATGTGAATTTAGTTTTACGGTTGGTGAAGTATTTCTTGGTCGGAAAAGGCGGCGGCGGTGGCAGTTGTTTGGCCGGAAAAAGTGGCGGTGAGGTGGCGGTTTGTGATATGAAGAAAGTTACTCGATTGATAGATTTGTATGTTGCAGAAGTAGCTCCGGATCCCCGTTTGAAACCGTATAAGTTTTTGGCACTTTTAAAGATCCTTCCGGAATGTTCTAGAGACTCGTATGATGAAATGTACCATGCCATCAACATTTATCTTCAGGTAACAGTATTTTCTGATAAAGTGTTCCATGGATAAACAATGTTTAAAAAATGAGAGCTGTTTCGTAAACAACAATTTTTTTTCCATACACAATAATTTGTGCTTTAAAATGTTGCGTTTTACAGCTCTACAAGATATAAATTGTTGTATATGAAGAAAAATAATTGTATACAATCACTTCCTTTAAAAAAAAAAAATTAACCCAATTGGAAAGTATATATGTAGAGAGAGAGAAAAGGTTTGAGGGTAAATTAGTAAGTAAAAAAGTTAAAAAGGGAAAAGATTCTTTTTTCTAAAATGGGTGAAAACGTGTCAATTTGGGTTGATTCACTAGCACTTTTTTGTTTTATAAATAATTAATATTTAAATATGATTACAAAAATTATAATGTTATCAAGTCAAAAAAACCTTATGAGTTTTTTTTGGCATAGGTTCACATGGGCTTATCGGATGAAGAAAAGACGAACATATGCGCTAGTCTCAACTACGACAAACTTTCGTCCGAAATATGCAATCATCTAATGCAAAATGAGAAATTTCCGTCAAAAATTACGAAATTAGCCCTTAAAGCTCAACAAGTGAACCTTGAAAATTTGTTTCTTGACATTGACATACAAAAACGGTTTGCCCTTCCACCTTGTGAAACCGAAATAAAAGACGGGAGGCATGGTCAAGTTGTACTCTATGCTAAACAAGTTGTACCACATGGAGGAAAAATGGATATTGTGAATGAAAATGAGAAGATGAGAGCACATTTAGAAGGAATGCAATGGAGGGTGGTTGAATTAGAGAAAGTTTGTAAGAAAATGCAAGCACAAATGACCAAAATCTTGAAATCAAGATTGTCTAGACAAAATAGTGCTAAATCTTTGCCAAGGCTTTGCTCTTGATAATGTTTTTTTATTTTTCAAATATTTTTTAGTAAATAATATGAAAAAATGCCCTATTTTCTTGCATTGTGAAACCATAAAAAGTACACAAATAAAAAGCATTGAGATTGTCACTGTGGAAATGTGGACCAAAAGATATAAATTGAAGAGTAGAATAGTGGAGGTGTATTTAAGTTATTTAAAAAAAAATTAAACAATAGAATTATCAAGTGTGTGATTAATTTATGAATATAAATTTCATCAACTCTCCCCAAACAAAAAGATAGTGAAATAATTCTTGTATTTATCATAAATTATTCATTGAACCACTTGTAACAATTGCGTTAACGAAAATTTGTTTCAAAAAATACAAAATTTAAAGGTTGTTTGTTGTTAATATTTTATTGTATGAATTACTTTGTTATTTAAACAACTTTTTGATCTGGCTTGTTCTCTGTACATTGATGATAGTACATTCCTTTATGCTTTTCTTTCTAAGAAATGTCGCTTTATATTTTTAACTTTTGGTGTGTGTAAAATTGATGAGTCCTTTTCCAAGTCTTCCCACTCATTTTGTTTCAACGTAAGCAAAAGTTGTTCGGTCTTTTGTTCCTCAAACAATGATAATATATTATTTTTCATATAATATTATTTGGTGGTTTAAAACTCATTAGAAGTAAATAATTCATATTATTTCATTTTTAGGTAGTGATTGAAATTTAGCATAATAATTTATTTAGTTCCAATGCTAAAACTAACATAAAATATAGTTTTTATGACAATTTTGACAACCAAACTATTAGCTCATGAGGCTTCATGTCTCATTTGTTACACAAGACATGATATGATATTGCATTTGACGTGTATTAGACGCTGAAAATGAGAATTAAACTAATGCCAATGAAACAATGACTGAAATATGGTACGTCCATCTTGAAAGGTGGAACAAAGTGGCACAGATTGTGCAAATATTGTGAATGCTTTTTGTATTTTAATCATAAAAATAGCACTAAAGTTTATCGAGTTTCATACAGTCTAGTCTCTTCTATTGAGTTTGTCGTATGTAAGAAAAACAGTCTTGATGTGAGAACATGTTTTAACCTTTATATATTAATGGCCGGACAATGTAAATCTCTCTCATGTAAATTTGTCTCAAAAGCAATCAAAACATAAGATTATCAAGTGTAATAAAATTTTGAGAAATATAAATTATATACACTTGAACCAATAATGACCATGTGAAATTGGTCATGTCTATAGTTTTTATATTTGGTTGTTGTTAATGCCTATTTTTGAAATTTAATAACTCTTTTATTGTGTTATTAATAACTTTTCTTGCCATAAGTTGATTGTTGAAAATAAACAAGGAATGTTTTAAATGTAAATTTAAATTTGACTTAAGTACAAGTTGTTACGATGTTATCTAATACAATTTTCTGATTTAGATTGTACTTTGTGCATTAATGGCACTGCATTACTTACATTCCTTTGCAGCTTTCTTTAGTGGAAATGTCTCCCTTTTGTTTTTACTTTTGGTGTGTGTAAAAATGTCAAGTCCTTTTCAAATTCTTGCCATTCATTTTGTTTTAATGGAAAAAAAGCTGTCCAGTTTTTTGTTCCACGATTTATAATTATCTTTATATAATATTAAAGTGTATTTGGCAAAACTTGATGGTTAGGAGCGGGTGATGACCGGTAGCTGATAGCCAGAAGTTGAGCAAAAAATCTATAGTTTTGATTTGTTATATGAGTTTTTAATATAAATATAAGTATATACATATACTAATTCATATATATATTTCTTACATTTAAAACATCAACAACCTTTACTCTTATAATATATATATATATATATATATATATATATATATATATATATATATATATATATATATATATATATATAGGGTGAGGTTCAATAGAGAACCATAATTAACCAATGAACCAATCTTTTTTTCAATTTTTAGAACTTATTTTTTATCAAAAAAAAACTAAAAATACAGAAATTCATAACTTTTTATTCTTTTTCCAATAATATCAAATTCGAATTTTTTTTTTACGTCAAATTCACAATGTGAATCTTTGAAAATTCACAATGTCAATCTGGATTCACACGGTGAATCCGAAAAATATTTTTCACATTCACAATGTTAATATATGAATTTAGATATTTTTAGAATTTTTTTTCGATAAAGAATAAGCTCTAGAAATTGAGAAAAAAATTTGGTTCCTTGAAGAACCAATAATTATGGTTCTCTATTGAACTTTTTCATATATATATATATATATATATATATATATATATATATATATATATATATATATATAAAAGGACAATTCTAGAAATTGATTAAAATTAATGGATAGTTTTTTCTTAAACATTGCATAAAATAACTTTTAAATTTAAATTTTTTTTATTTAAACTGAAAACTAAACGTACTTGCAAACAAAGATTTTGTATATATCAAATTTTCTCTTAAAAACTAAAAAGTAAAAGTTTTTAAACACTTCTTGCCAACACTATAAACATATAAAAACTTGCACACATAATTATATTACATACATTGTAAATGTCTTAAAACACGGAAAACTATATACCTTAAAATATAACGATACAAACATCGAATTTTTTTTTCGTTTAAATGTTGACTAATTATGTGATAGTTGATAATATTCAATAGATGACTATATGGTACAATCATTTAATGAAGGAATGTACAAGCAATGAATGCTTACACATCTTTCATTGGGAATGTTGACATTTTGCTTATACGCCACTTTTTCATATGGGCTTCATGTTTGAAGAGTCCATATACGTTACGGTTTGTCTACTCTTACATAAGTCGTACCATTGTCCCCCCAAAAAAACAGATATACTTCAATAAAAAATAAATTGATCTAATTTTATATATATGAATTGGACACATGTACCATGTAGTTAAAAAGTTGTAAATTAAAACATTTATAAAAAAAGTTATGCTTGTAATGTTTTAAAACAAACAATTATAAGTTCACAATCTTTTTCAAAATTAATACATAGGTTCCAAATTCAAGCATACATTTTTCATAACCGAATTTTTATATGTTTTTTGCAAAAAAAAAAAAAATTACTCCAAATACAAAAATATAACAATGAAAACGATATACAATTTTTATTTGTTAGGTTAATTCGCTTTCATCTTCAATTTTTTATATTCATAGTTGTCTTTGATGGATTATGTGGAAACCCTATTGATTAGGGTTGTATGTATAGATATCAATATATAGTGTACCATATTACATAAGAGACTCTATATTATACATAAATAAATAAACAATATAATATGATCTAACACACCCCCATAGTTGGAGCATGAGGATCTCGAATGTTCAAACTATTTCTAAAATCCAAAAATAACAGAGTAGGTAGGCTTTTCGTAAAATTGTCAGCATACTGATAAACGAAGGGTACATGCAAAACACGCACATGACCAATCATAACACACTCCTTAAGAAAATATGTATCTATTTTCATATGTTTGGTTCTTTGGTGATGCATTGGTGTAACATCCTCTCTCGAATCGTTCCCATTTGGGTGTGGGTGACGTAATTTAGATGATCCGGGTGTTCAGTTTGTGTTTTGGAGCCAAAAGGGTATTTTGGTAATATATCAGCTCGGGTTTTATGGGAATTGGATGATTGTTCGAGAAATTGTAAGGCAAGTATAAATTGATTAACACGTAGAGTTTCTTGTTACCTTTTCATGGATATAAGGATCGTCGAAATCGGATTTAAAATGAGAAAGTTATGGCCTTCGAAGTATATTGGGGTTTAAGGAGAAACCTAGAACGTGGGGCGTACCAAGGGAGTACGCGGGGCGTACTCATGTGAAGGGAGTTACGCCATGCGTAATGAGGAGTACGCTTAGCGTACTACGAGGTTGGGATCGGGGTGCGAGACGTCGTACGCTGGGGTACGAGGGTTAGTGCGAAACCCTAAATTTTCGTATTGTACCTTATAAAAGCTTTATGTTAGCCTCTTTTGTTCATTTCTAAGCCAACCTCCATACCCTAAAAACCCTAAATCGATCTTGTAGCCTCCATGGTGGTGTTTTTTAGCTCATTATGTGCATCTTGGTGTTAGCTTCTTTTCTTCATTGTATTTTTGGGTCGAAGGCACTAAGGCCAACCCATTGGTTTAGTAACCTGATATTCGTTGATATGCTGAGTATGGGATAGATATGCATGCTAGTTCTGATATGCTAGTTGGTAGATCTGTAGGGCTACCTGTGATTCTGTCTGCATGATTATATGTGTATGTCGTTATCTAGCGACATATTGTGCTGGGTTGAGGTTGTACTGCTTCGTGTTGTAGCCAACAAACCCTAGAGCATTCCAGATATGAGTTGAGGATCAGGTAGGGCATGCCAGACTCATAATGAGGGCTCAACTGCATTCCAGATACGAGCTGAGGACCCGGTGGTATGCCAGACTCGTACTGAGGACTTGAGGGTATTAGAGCATTCCAGATATGAGCCGAGGGCCGGGTAGGGCATGTCAGACTCATACTGAGGGCTCAGTAGCATTCCAGATACGAGCTGAGGACCGGCTGGTATGCTAGACTGGTACTGAGGGCTGAACATTGGTATTCCAGTCCGATGGCTAATTGGGTTGAGGAGCAAGCCAGACATAAGCTGTGGGCCCGAGGGCAAGCCAAACTTATGTCGTGGGCTCAAAAGCAAGCCATATATGATTTGTGGGCCTAATAGGCAAGCCAGAATAATACTGTGTACTCAGGGGTATTCCAGTCTTTTAGTTGTGGACCCATTACATGCTGTTATTTGTACATGTTATCTGTTTGAGTGTTGGTACTTTGGGGGAACTCACTAAGCTTTGTGATTACAATTTTGTTTATGGTTTCAGGTTCTTCAGATGATTCGTGGCAAGGCGAAGGCGTGACCCTACACATCCTTGGCTTTACAACGGATTGGATCTTGGGAGACTCTGATTTTAAATAATGTTTTGGAAACAATGTTTTTGTAAACACTTTTATTAGTAAATGGGTTGTTTTGAAAAGTTTAAATTTGTTGAAAATTTTGGAATGTTACAACTGGGTTGGAGGCTCAATAC